GATGGCTGGGCCACGTGTTGCGCATGCCAGCCCACCGACTCCCTCGACGTGCGTTGTTCGCTCACCGGGGATGTGGGTGGAAGAAGAGGAGAGGTGGCCAAGCGATGACTTGGTCCAGAGGAATGAATTCCCTCATATCGGCGCTAGCCTCGGTTGGAGCTTCAAGAATCCCTGGTTGGGGTCCAAAAGACGGTGAACACGTTTGGCTGGATACACTTGCTGACATGGAAAGGAGCCGACCTCAGCGGCGTTCCTACTGTGAGTTTTTTGGTCCCTCCCCATCCCTTTTAGCCTCCCCCTCCATCTACGATCTCATTTCGTAGGGTAAAACATAAATTTTTTGCCTAGTAGCTGGCTGGTAGCTTACCGGAACGATGTCTATCCGTTGGTTGTAGCTCAGCTGGCATGCAACTGTCGCATTTATTTTTCCTTTATGTACTGTATGTATGCATGTATTTGTCGTATTAAGAAAGCCTTCGGAAAAGTAAAATGTAGCTCGCAAAATTAACCAAGTACAACTGACTCAATCTCTTGTTAAACGGAGAGTCAAGTGACAGACACACACAACCATTAGTAGAATAGGCATGAGTCAGCAAGCCAACCAATGAGATCGAGCCAATCGATGTTGCTCACATGGTTACCACATTATCGTTCCCCCCTCCGAAAAGCTGCCTCAACCTGGTTCGTAGCGATCAATAGGTTTCACCGTTCTCGCGGACCGACGCAGCTGACTTCGTGGTAATGGTAACTCAGCCGGGTCTTCGCGCACGGATCGGTCGGGCTGATTAGCTGGTCCGTGAGCTGTGTGGAGTCGACGCGCGTTGACAATTAGGCCGTTCTCCAATCGATAGGTGCCCGGGCCAAGCGTACGGTCGATGCGCACTGGAGCGGAAAGCGAAGGTGTGCCTTTCTTTGTCGCCCTGCTTTTGACGCGAACGTATGTCCCGGGCTGCATTGGTGTCGATACTTTAGCGTAGGAATTTTGGTAAGATGCTATGCGATTTGAAACTTCGGCATCTCTCGCTGATAAAAGGTTATGTGCAGCATTTAACTTTGTGCGTAAGGGCCTTCCTAGCATCAGCTCCGCTGGCGTTCTTCCGGTGGCTCTGTGGTCACATGTTCTGTAGGAAAAAACCGCAGTTAAAACTGCATCCTCCCAGTCCGAACCTCCTATGTGTATGGCTTGTATAGCTTCTTTTAGAGACCGGTTTAAACGCTCGACCATGCCGTTGGCTGCAGGATTGTAGGGCGCAGTTCTGGAGTGCTTAATGTTATGGCAATGTAGAAAATCTGCGAATTCGCGGCTACAAAATTGTGGCCCGTTATCCGTTACTATTTCATGCGGTAAACCGAAACGGCTGAACAAGTGTTTAAGCCAACGTAACACAACCGAAGTAGTAACTTGGTCGCACATGTGTACTTCAGGCCATCTACTGTAAAAACATGTAGCAACAAGTAGATTTCGCTTATTCGTAGGAGCAGTAGCGAAAGGGCCCATAATATCAATGGCGATTTTGGTCCATGGTTTCATCGGGTAAGCAATTGGCTGTGTCGGGGCTTTAACGGACAAAGAACTTTTGTCCGCTAATCGGCAAGCATTGCAATTGACCACAAATGTCTCAATGCTAGATGCCATTCGTGGCCACCAGAAATAGAGTCTCACTCGATTTTTGGTCCGAACTATACCTGGATGTCCCTCATGTGCGCAAGCTATTATCTTGGCTATCAACTGGGGCGGAGCTACAAACACCGAACCGCGCATCAGGCAACCATCTACCACTGATAGTTCATGTCGAATTGCATAATACGGAATGAACTCACCGGGGATTTTGTTATTCTTGGGCCAGCCCTGTTGCACATATTCAATGATCTCATGCAGTAAAGAATCGTTAGAATTTTCCCTTCGTAGTTCCTCGATCGTCAAGGCAGACAGGTTAGCTCCGAGACTGGAAACTAATACCGCCTCTCTGAGTCTCTCTTTTTCATCTTCCAACCCCACGGGTAAGCGAGATAGGCCGTCAGCAATCTGATTTTGCAAACCTGGCCGGTACACAATTTCAAAATCGTAGTTAAGGAGCCTGGCATACCAGCGATCGATTCGCATTGGGCGAGATCCTTTAGATCCATTGCTGAGAAGAGCTGTTAGGGCTGAATGATCAGTACGCAGAATAAAACGACGACCGAACAGAAATAAATGCCACTTTTCACAGGCCCACACACATGCAAGGGCTTCTTTTTCCCCAACTGAATAATGACGTTCGGAATCTGATAGCTTTCGTGATGCGTAGGCAATAACTTTCTCCTCTCCGTTTTGTATTTGTGAGAGGACAGCTCCGAGACCGACATCAGACGCATCAGTGGACACAAAGGTGCGGCAAGATTCGTCAAAAATGGCAACTAAGGGAGCAGACGCAACTCTCCTTTTCAGTTCATCAAAGGCATTTTGATGATTGCTGCCCCAAACGAACGACGATCCTTTCTTTGTTAACTGTCGTAATGGATCTGCCACAGTCGCAAAATCCGGCAGATAGCGCAGGTTATAAGAGCACATTCCTAAAAAGGACTTTAGTTCTGTCAAGTTTTTGGGTGTTGGCGCTTCAGAGATGGCCCTGATATTTTCATCACTTGGTCGAATGCCACTGCGTGAAATGACGTGTCCCAAAAACTGAATTTCTGGTGCATTGAAGAGACATTTTTCTGCGTTCAGACGCAAATTGAGATCACTGAGGCGCTGGAGGACTTTGTGTAGCCTTTCATCATGTTCTTCCTGTGAGCGGCCGAAAACACAAATATCATCCATGTAGGCAACCTGCCCATCGATACCTGCCAGGGCGTGAGTCATGAACTTTTGCCAGGCGGCGGGCGCGGAACTCAAACCCATGGGTAAGACTTTGTACTGAAATAGGCCATCAGGAGCGAGGAAGGCAGTTAGGTGTTTGGAATCATCGGCCAATGGCATATGGAAAAATGCACTTTTCAAATCTAGCTTGGAAAAAACAGTTGCACCAGCTAAACGTACAGTGAGTTCATCATTAGATGGCAAAACAAAGCGCTCTACGACGATCTGTTTGTTCAGTGCCTGCAAATCGTTGCATATCCGGACAGTACCGTCTTTTTTCATGACACAAACCATTGGATGCACCCACTCAGAGCAGTCGATGGGTTCAATCAAATCATTTGCTAGCATCGCTTGCAGGGCTGCTGAGACCGCTTCACGTTTCGCTAGCGGAATGGGTCGAGGTTGACCAATGGCGACCGGTTTCGCATTCGGTTTCAGCTGAATTCGATGCACACCACATGGAATACGGCCGATGGACTTCTGGAAGAGCTTCGGATAATGTTCCTGCCAGTGTGCTACGTTGACGGAAGAGATAAGCATGCGGTCGAATGATGGTACAATGTGCAAAGCCACCATAGCATTCCTCCCAAGCAAGGGTCGTCTGTTGTCCGAAGAAATATACACTGCGACATCGGCAATCACAGAATGCAACTGCAAAGGCACGATAATAAATCCCAATATGGTTAGTGTGTTCCCACTATAACTCCAGAATGAATGTGAGGTGGGATGTAAAGTATGCTGTGATAGGTAGCGTTCATAAAATTGGAAAGGCACGATAGTGACTGGAGAAGCAGAATCAAGTTCCATTTCCAATGGAACAGCACCTTTAACAGTAAGGAACAATACAGTACGAATGTCAGCAGCGGGAAACTTCGGTTCAACAACGGATATGGTTACACAACCTGAAGGTATGGAGTCAGCGGTGATTGAATAGATATTGTCTTGAGTTGGATCGGTAACATGGCATTCCGGTGTATCATCATCTTTAATGAGCGCGACAGCCTGCGATCGACAACAGCGGGCATAGTGTCCAATTTTACCACAGTTTTTACATTTGAGGCTGCGTGCGGGACAACCGGCAAAATTAGCTTTGTGAGACGTGCTCCCACAACGATAGCAAGACAGTTTGTCTGTCGGACGTTGCCGGAAAGATTGTACTCTCGCCACTTCAGCTAAGCTGGTGGAACAAAACTGCTTCGATTGCAATGAAATTTCTGTCTTTACTCGGGCTAATTCGCAAGCTCGATCCCACGTTAGTGTGCAAGCGTCTTCCTGCAATAGCGCCTCACGTATGCGATTGTCAGCGATTCCAGTGATCAGTTGCTGAGTGAGCATACAGCCTTCAATCTTTTTCTGTGGAATAGACGAGTAGGCACACGGTCGTACTGCACGACTCAGCCGAGCAATGAAATCATTCAAGGGTTCGCCTGCTTCTTGGTGTATTCGGGAGAAAATATATCGCGCGGTAAACACGTTCATTTGGTAACTCCATGCACGATCGAGAGCATTGAAGGCGTCTATAACCGATTTGCATCCTTGGAGACCCAAATCATCGAATTGCCGCTGTCCCTCATCTCCGAGTAAATGTCGAAGCAGCTTCAATCTTTTATCCTCACTAAGAGCAGTAGGGAGATCGCTGATTAAATCCAAGTAGTTTAGGAAGGATGTTTTCCAACGGAACCAGGCATCCGATGTCGGTCTGCTGCCGCAATCAGTCCAAAATGGAGATGGGGGTTGGATGGAAAGGTTCATTTTTGCCTCCGCGACGCCACAATGTTGTATCAAGAAAGCCGTAGGAAAGGTAAAATGTATCTCGCAAAATTAACCAAGTACAACTGAGTCAATCCCTTGTTAAACGGAGAGTCAAGCGACAGACACACGGACCAATAGTAAGGTAGGAATGAGTCAGCAAGCCAACCAATGAGATTGAGCCAATCGATGTTGTAAACAAATGGACGTTTCGAAGGTTAAAACAACCATAAAATCCAATGTTATAAGATACTGAAAGAGCATGTTTTCAGTTGCACTACACACTCATTGAGCCTAACACCGTCATGAGGACGGTGCACCCCGTTCCCTCCAGTAACCACCAACTGTCTCCTAGAGCCAGTATGGACGAGATAGTGGGTAATAGACTGGTAGCTACCTTGTCAGCATTCACATCATGCGCAGCCACTCTGGGAAGCTGAATCAACATATACTTCTGAATTGCAAGAATGCTCATCACGCCGCTTTATTGGTCTCGATTAGTAAATCGAATGGGTGCATACTCATCGTGCTTCTATTCCGCGTGCAATAGTGCCTTCTCTTGCACCTGTGTAATCACCCTCTTGATTACTCCACGGAATTGGCATTGATTAACTTTGACTTGGATTCCCAACACCTGAAATCAATCTTTGTTCGTCATAAACTCACCTTCATCTCCTAGTAATGTTATTTTCGGTTTATCCCAGTACCGCTTCCCTGCACTAAGTTGGCCGTACAAAAGCATCGAATTCATTCGGCATACATATATACATGAATTGGTGTCATCCGTATCCAATGGCAGTTCAAATACAACTTATGCACATGCGTTTATCCAAACTTAAGTGTGAGCTGTCACCAACTGGATAGAGACACATTAGACATAATCATCAATGATACGACAAACGTGTATGGGTTTCGTTTGGAGGTTAGGCTAACAATCACTTTCGCAGGCATGAGAATAACTACCAAATACGAACTGTTGATGTTTTTCTTAACACTTAGACGTATAAATTCCAGTTTTAAATCTCGGGCATCCATATATAAACGAAACCGATATAGGAATAGTGAAGCAACTGTCATCTGTACGGTTACTAATTGGAATGATAACTAAACCAGTGGTGCAGTGAAATAGTGTATACTTAGATGTTGCAGTCTATGTGTGCAGTCGATAGGTACAAATGTTTACAAGTTATTCAAAAACAGGTCACAAACGCGATAAAGTTAATGAAGATAACCACAATTAGTGTAAGCAACGAGTGCAAGTTAATAGAAGGATATTCAGGTAGGCAGAACGAAACAAATAAGATGGAATGAAATGTATTCAGCTTAAAAAGACCTAGTTTAATACGGTACCCCACACGAACACCGTAAGCACAAGCGGCATCAAAAGCACAAGGCATTAGTGCAGGAAGATAAACACTAAACAAGGCATGCGATAAGAGATGGCCTTGCTTCACACCAGACAACTGCAAGGTCATCGGCACCATCGCCCACACACCACTGAGACTGTAAGAGCAAGTAGAAAGGTTTCTGTACAACTCTATCGAATTACGAAAAATCAAAAAAATTTAGTTTGAATCATCAGCAGTTGTGTCTGGTCCGTTAATCGTTTATCCTTGTTCGGTTAGGAATTTGTACTGGTATCACTATTTCCGGGGCATACCATATCTTCTTTTGGCCTTGTATGTGCATCGTTTCACAAAAGCACAGTTTTCCGAAATAATCGTCGATACGCGTTTTAAAACACTTCACAGAATCGGCCTCTAATAATCCTTCGGATAGTGTATTCCATAAGTTTACGATTCTTCGTTCGTTACAAAGCTGATGTGACACTTTGTTCATGTTGGGGACCCAGAGTTTGTAACGGTGTCCTCGGGTGTTACATGGTTCCCGCAGGTGAAATATTGGCTGCAGTATTTGGTAGTGATTTAAGTGTAGTACTCGATGAATCATAATAAAGTCAATTCTTACTCGGCGATAGGATAGTGTGTAGAGTCCGAGCCTTTCATAACGTTTTTCAAGCAGAAGCTTTTGTAGACTCGGTATCATTCTAGTTGCGATATGCTGCATTTTCTCCAGCTTTTCAGTTTCCCAATGGGTTATCGGATGGTAAGCTGGGGCACCGTATTCAAGAATTGGTCTAATGAGCGAGGTGAATAGACGAGGGATGGATTCTTCGGACCATGTAGAGAAACTGCGTTTTAATGCCTAGAGCACACGAAGTCCCGTACGGTACAATTTCTCTGTATTTTCTAGTGATCTCATATCATATCATGAGAGAACTCCTAAGTCTCAGACATATGTTTTAGGATGGAGCAGCTGGCCGTCCAATTCGTATGATTCAGTGGCTGGACGTCTGGTGATACTGATGAACTCCGACTTGCTTGCGTTAAGAGGGTGTTGCATTTCAGTGGACCACGTTCGCAGTCGCTCTAAGTCATGCTGGAGGCGAGCGCAGTCTTCCTGGTTCTCAATGATCCTCCAGATTTTCAAATCATCTGCAAACAGGGCACATGGTGACTGGAGCTGCTGCGGAAGATCGTTGATATGAGTAAGAAATACTGGCCCAAGTACAGTTCCTTGAGGCACGCCACTAGTCGATGGAAACCAGTCTGTCAGGTAGTCATTGACCTGTAATCGAAACTTGCGTCCCACAATAAACTCGTGTAACCACTGAAGTAACGTGCCACCGATTCCGTATGTCTTCAGTTTACGAAGGAGTACCTCGTGGTTCACTCTGTCAAACGCCTTACTAAAATCGATGTACACCACGTCAACATCCTTCTGTTCATTGAGACCTCGTACCCACTGGTGGGTTGCGTACATCAAGTTGGTGATGCAGAATCGCCCTTTCGTAAAGCCGTGTTGCGCTGGCGTCAATACGTCCATCGATTCGAAGAACGATAGCAGACACTTTTTCACAACCTTCTCGAGCACTTTGGATAATACCGAAGTCAAACATTCAATTAAACCCACAAGCTTACGCGGACAACCAAAGTTACCCAACATCAGCCACAACGCCTCCCGGTTCACCGTATCAAATGCCTTAGAGAAAACAAAAAAGCGAGTACAACGGCTGGTGTCCTCTACACTTCTCATGCAACTAACTATAGTGCTGCGACGCGAACGGAATCCACACTGCTCTTCCTTGACTGACGAGGCGGTTGAGCAGGATTCGTGCAATCACCTTGCTCACAGAACTCAGCAAGTTAAATAAATTAATAAACAAACAAACGGTATATATTTCAACATGCGCGACACAGGCAGATACCAGCGTGATCACTTGTACAACAAAGTTGGATAGTGGAGGGATTTTTCAGGATCTGTTATGTTCTCATTATAGTGTTTGAGCTGTTCAATCATTTAAAAATAGTACAATATGGAGAAGTTAAGAGTAGGAATAAAATTTGTTTTAGCCGTCATGTCAAGTAAAGTAGTACGACCCTTCATGGAACCGTCTCCCGGAGAGTTGCTTCCACACTTCACTTTCACAGCTCATCTGGCCATGTGTTGTTGGGGCTTAATGCAAGTAGCCATATATTTTTTGGCTCGTTTGTTTCTTGCTGGCTGTTGTCATATGCAATTTTATCATCGTCATGGTGACCCATTATACATAAATATGTATAAAACTGTGTGGGGGCTTGTGTAATATGTTAAGCTCTCTCCCTCATACAGCCATCATTTAGCTAATTCGAGTCTAACACTTTCAACATTCGCTAGTGAGTTCGTGCCAACTTGCATTTCATGAGTGTGCTGCATATTTGGAAGCATTTATCCATCACCTCGGGAGCTCGGCTCGGTCGTGACCAACAGTGGTAGAAGAAAAATAAACAAAAAGCAAAGGGATGAACGAAAAGTAATGAGAAGATGATGGACTTTTGTCCGAAGTTGTCCGATATAGATTGTACAAATTATCACTGGAGGCATAAACCCTCAGCAATGTACATGAATTATAAAGTGCATTTTCAAAGGAAATAATTGAGTCGGCTCCAGCAGTTGTAGGAGCTAAAATTTGGAGATTAGGGATGTGAAATCAATTTTTATAGCCCCGAGAAATGCCGTACGTGCACAAAATATTTTCTCCAGGGAGGGAGCGAAAACTGTATGCAGTGTAGAGCAGGTTTACTGCCGTTCCAACAGTTTATATAAATAAATAATAAAATGGTTTTTGGGTAGATTCGTCGCAGTAAGACACAGACAGACAGCCACCACACATCCAGGAAAGCGCTAGACGAACATTTCGTCCTATTGGGACTCGTCAATAGCGCGCACCCGCCGAATCCTGCCGGATACGAACCCACGACCTTACTCTTGCGAGTCAGCGACTTATGTCACTGAGCCATGGGCGACAGCAGCGGACCGCCATGATGGATATCTAACTGCGAC